GGATGGGCTTGATCAGATACGACTCCAGCGTGGACGAATGCTGCTGCTTGGGGTTGCGCTCGTCCAAGAAAGCTTTGAAGTCGGGGTCGCTTTTGGCTGCAAAGATCATATCGAGGTCGCACCAGATGGGACATTTTAGCCCGTACCTTCACTTCCCTTTTTGGGCTTTTTGTGGAAATGACATTCTTTGGAATGAATCGCTAACACATTGACCACCCTACACTCGAACCCACTCTGACGTCTAAACTGCAATGCTAACCCAATCCCGTCTCGCCCTAACTCCAAAACTGTAACCCTAAACCCATCCCAGTGTCATCTTAACCTAACCCCGAACTTACCTCTTCGCTCTAAAACCCCGAGAGAAACCTGGTCGGTGAGCGAGTAGAGCTCCCTGAGCAGCAGAGGGTACTTGAGGACTCTCTGGATGGGCTTGATCAGATACGACTCCAGCGTGGACGAATGCTGCTGCTTGGGGTTGCGCTCGTCCAGGAAGGCTTTGAAGTCGGGGTCGCTTTTGGCTGCAAAGATCATACCGAGGTCGCACCAGATGGGACATTTTAGCCTGTACCTTCATTCGCTTCCCTTTTTGGGCTTTTTGTGGAAATGACATTCTTTGGAATGAATCGCTAACACATTGACCACCCTACACCCTAACCCACTCTGACGTCTAAACTGCGATGCTAACCCAATCCCGTCTCGCCCTAACTCCCAAAGTGTAAACCCTAAACCCATCCCAGTGTCATCTTAACCTAATCCCGAACCTACCTCTTCGCTCTAAAACCCCGAGAGAAACCAAACCAAACACAAACCGCCCTGAATCTCAAACCTAACCCTCAAAGTGTAACCCAAAACCCACTAATCTTTACTTGAAACCATCCTAACCCGAATCCCTTGACTGCCCTGAGAAAATTCTCCCCCCGAAAATAAGCCGCTCTTCGCCGCAGCCCGGTCGGTCTTTCAGCAGAACGTAACCGGCAGCAGGCAAGTATGCGGAGGTCAAAGGCACAAGCGCTGACAACCGCGTGCGGGAGATTAATGGCGGCTGTCGGCAGGCGGCAGATGGCCCCGCCGCTCTCAGCGCCGCCTCCTTTCGAGCAAAAAGGTGGAACGACAACTCCGCTCACCCTTAACGAGGACCTTGGGGACTTTGGTGTGGCTGGCGCAGAACGCGCTGTAGATCTTAAAGCGGTCGGCGTAGTAGAGGAAGGAGCCTCCCAGGGAGAACAGGATTTTCTGTCAGCGACGCACGGACGAGATGTTAGGCAGCTGCGAGTGTTGAACAAAATGCTGATCTTACTTTGAACTGGTCCACTCGCTCCAGCTTGTCCAGATCGGGGACCAGACGGGTTCCATCCTCCAGAGTCTTGAGGAATTCCACCTGGAACTGCACCATTTCTGGAAGATTTCCAAAGAGGACATCCAGCTGGAGGAACAAAAAGGAAGGTAGGTTGGTGTTAGACTGGTTGATTTGCTTTTGCGGGCCACATAAAATGACGTGGCGGGCCAGATCTGGCCCCCGGGTCTTGAGTTTGACACCTGCACTCAACGGGGAACATTTGCTGCCATTAACGGCTACAGACGTCAAAGATTCTTTTAAACTGGGCTGGCATTGAATGGGAGTTAATTAAAAAAAGAAAAAAAAAAACGCTACTAATGACGCGTGACACAAAATTCTCAACGGACACGGCCGACATTCTTCAGTGTATTGTGCTGTCATCCTCATTTCAACGCAGTTACGGTTGAGGTGTTAATATAAAAACCCTAACCGCCCCCGACCCCGTCACCCCCCACAAACAACTTTTTGACCGAGCGCCGCTGATGAAATCCGAATGAAAACATGAAATAGTAACAGGACGCGCTAGCAAATCCTCATCACAACGGCGCCATATAGTAGAGCTTTGCAGCAGATGGTGCAGCCAAGCAGCTCGCTTTCCAAGTAGCACATGCACGTGTAAAAAAAAAAAAACAACATCCCATCCTCCTCGCTTCTCTCATCGTTCGGCTCGCTCGTCCTCGCACAAAGCCGTTCGTCCGTCCTGCCATTACGCAACCCACTTCGACTCGCTTCAAGGCAGCGGCGCCCACGGATGCATTCGCATACATGGCGCGCGCACGCGCACGCACGCACGCACGCAAACGACACAAGCATACCTCATCTTGAGTGAGAAAGGACTCTTTCTGCAGCGGGCTTAAATATCTCCCGATGAGGCAGTTGAGGTCCTGAAGAAGAGAAAAGTTTGTGTTTTATTGAACTGACGAATGGATTGGTTGATTTATTGATTTGATTGATTGATTGGGGCTTCTTGAGCGCACGGGAATGCCAGAGAATTAGGGAACCCCGCAGAACGTCAAGTGACATGCACAAATGCACTCATATGGACAGAGAGGTGTACCTAAAGAAGTGGCTGGTGAGTGTTGCGTCATGATTGTTGTTTTTTTTGGGGTTTTTTTTTTTTACTACAGTGATTAAATTGTTACATTTGGATTGATAATAAATACACCACAATAACTCAATAAATCCAGTCATAAAAAAAAAAAATACAATTTTAGAAGAACAACCACCACATTCAAGAACAATTATTGTAAATATTGTAGCGCATATTGTAATAATAATAATAATAATAATAGACTTGTGGCCAAAATATAGTTGGATGTATTGTCATACAAAAATAACATTCAATAAACCCAAAATTGGTAAATTGTTCAAACTAATAAATCTAAAATGATGAAATCTTAACTATTGTTGTATATGTTGTGCCATACAAAAATGTAATGATACTTAATACATCCAATGGCAAATATTGCAATAAAAATAGAAAGATATTCAACAAATTCGCCTCAATTGAAGTCAGTGACACAAAGCAACGTCGCCGCATTCTGCCCAAGCAATATCGATCGCGCACGATGAGATGAAACCGACACGTCGGCTCGATCGAGCCCGCTCATACGGACACGAAACACGACAACGGAGGAATGGCCCGACGGCATTCGCCCCTCTCGGGACGACACTCATCTGCAAACGTCAACCAAGAACGACGCTGGGATACTGACTTTGACGTAAGTGCGCTCCGTCTCCACCAGCTCGCTGATGACTTTGCGCAACTTGTCGGCGTCCGAGAGCTGCCGGAGCGCCGGCGGGAAAGGCGAGTCCGGGCTGGGCGAGGACGAGGACGCGCACTCCGGGGGATTCATGTCATAGAGGCTGCGGCAGAAGGCCGACACTTGCTCTGTGTTCTGAGTCACAACAGAAAAAAAAAAAATCAATCAATCAATCAATCATCTTCCATATATATGTATGTGAGTGTGTCATAACAATTGCTGCGTCGTGACTCATCTCATGCTATCATCAAAATAATCCGCATAATATACGGGGGGTTGCCATGGGAACTAACCCTGATGTGCATTACACTGTAATTTGGGGGTGCAAAAATAGATAAGCCCCCCCCCAACACTGGGTGAACAATGCACAACAGCTCTGTGGCTTACTTTGACTTCGTTTAGGCTTCCTGGAACTGTTTTGAGGGGGCGGTCCTGTCACCAGCGTTCACCCCACCCTCAAGATTACTGGCGCTCGGCAAGCAAGGTTTATGCGGTTTCATATTAGGGTTTCAAGCCTTGGGATAGGGTGTCCACTTTGGGTTTTTGTGCCTGATTTCAAATGATCGTTTTTGAAGCCGGGATAGTGCTCAAACAAGGAGTAAGGTTTTAAACCTGGTTTAGAGTTTTTAAATTGGGATTTCAAGACTCGTTTCGGGTTTTGAATTAGGGTTTCAAAACAAATTTATGGGTTTGAGACTGGGGTTTCCACCAATGGTTCTAACTTCAAAAAAGGGTTTCAAGACAGTGTTATGGTTTCAAATGAGTGTTTCAAGCCACTCTGAGGATTTCAAATTCATCTCAAATTTGTGCTTTCTAATGAAAGCCTCGTTTGAAAATTGCCGTTGTCAGCAAGGGCTCCAAATACTTTTGAAGAGTCCAACAAATGGTTACAGTTTTGAATTAGGGTTTCAAGCCCAGGGTTAGGGTTTCAAATTTGTCTCTGAAGCCAGGTTTCAGGTTTGGAACAAATCTCACAAATGAACTCATTCAATGCCGGCCCAGTACAACTAAAATTATTGACGTCTCTAGCCGTCAATGGCAGTCAATGAAAAAAATAACAGGCACCGTGCACACACACAAGTGCAGCACACGCATCTTGCCAAACGCGCGGCCAAACAATGAGGAAAAGCGACAAGACAAGGTTGGAGCCAGCTCACCAGCTGAAGCATGTCAAAGAGCGAGTCGCACGAGCGCTTCCTGGGCTGAGTCCACTTCAGCGAGGACATGGCCGCATGGACGCAGACGCCACACTTTTTTCCGCTTTTTTTTTTTTAATGGAGGTGGACTTTCCGCATGACTGCCGTGGCGCACGAGTCCATCTCGTCTCCGATCGGGAGGAGGAAATAAAAAAAAAAAAAGCGAGGTGAAGGGATGAGTCGGGAAGATGCTCGGCTGCCTCCTCGCCGGTTAACTTGCGTCTCCTTTCCGCGTGCTGCGCTTCTGCGCTCCTCGTCGTCGCTCAGCAAGTGTGCTCGTGCGAGGGAAACGAGCGAGGAAGGTGTGTGTGTGTGCGTGGGATGGGGGGGGGTTGTGAATGCCGAGTTTCAGGAGTGGGAGGGTGCGGAGCTACAAGGGAGGGCTTCAAGCAGAGACAAAGTGCAAGAAAATCTGAACCTGGAGGTTTTTTGGGCTGAACCTAATTCATCCAAAACACCAAAATGCTCTTCTCCGACGGGGGCTCTTGGCTTTCAAATGAGAGCTTCAGACAAAAGTTGCGGATTCAAGCAGTTTCAAGGAAGAACGGGAGGGGACGTCGCAATCCACAGGGGGCTGGTCTCCACTTGGCCGCAGGCTGCCAAGTACGAACTGCAGCTGATCAGGTTCTCAACCTGAAATCGGCTTTTGTCTCTCGGCAAGCCTCGTTGCGAACAAAGTGACCAGGTTGAAAATGTTCCGCCCACTGCCGTCGGTGAAAACCTCAGCGTGGGTGAAACGGCACCAAATGTTGCGTCCAGGCTGGCCGGGAGCGAGCGAGGTGCCAGTTCGCACTCGCTTCCGCGCCAGAACAAAACAGTGCGACGTGTCCTTTCGGCCGGCTTTCCGTTTTCTGCCTTCCCATCGCGGCGCTCGTGTTTTATAATCACAGCAAACGGGAATCGAAACACCAAAGCATTTAAGGGTTGCCGCCGCCAAATGCTTCACCTTGAGCCAAACGAGCACTCGGTCAGGCCGTCAAAAATTGCGCGCGGGTCCAATCGCCCAATGTGACATCCAGGTCGGAGACTTAGTGTGTGTGTGTGTGTGTGTGTGTGTGTGTGTGTGTGTGTGTGTGTGTGTGTGTGTGTGTGCGTGTTTGATATTGATTGACCAAGAAATGTCAATCAATATTTCGTTTTTTACTTAGGTTTTCAATGCTCCACAGGATTTCCTGGGGGCAACGGTTTTATTTGCTGTAATCTTTTATTTCCCCACTTCCTGTTATGATGGGAATTTTATTTTGAAGGCATGAGGAAAAGGAAAATGGCTGATTTGATGCTACCATGACAGCACACAGCAATGCGGTTTTGTCCTCACATAGCGGAAATGGCTGAGCTGCAGATTTCCCCGATGGAGCCAACACGAGAACCAGAGAAGAAGAAGAGCCCCCCCACCCCCGTCCCCCAATGCGGCGGGTGACGTTTTCTGACCTTGCTGCACTCCAAGTGGCCGAAGATCTCAGAGTCGTCGTCCAAGCTCTCTCCCGAGCTCTCCAGCAGCAGCCCAGCGCTGTCGTCCAGGATTTCCTCTGCCATCCGCACATGCCCACACACACACACAAATACACGACACAATATGTTGGATGCGCTGCAAAGTCGTCAAAACGAAGCTTTGAAAGGCTATTGAGGGTTTGAAGCCCAGGTCAGAGGTTCAGGGGTAGGGCTGTGAGCTTGGGTAGGGTTTCAAAAAAAAATTTGGGTTCAAATTTGGGCTCCAAACCAGGCTTAGGGTTTCAAACAAAGGTTTGAAGCCAGAGTTTCCAAGTTCGGGTTTCCGGTTTTACAGTCAACTTGCATCAGGGCCAGAAACAACCCATGGGCGTTTGCGTGCACCCTGTTTTGTAACGTGTGCCCCCCACAGGCCTGGAGTGGAACAGCATTGCCCGGGACGGCATGACTCCCGACGTGTCAGACGAACATGTTCAGGAATATTTGCCCTCGTCGTTTGTCCACGACGGGTCACCTTGGCTCTGGGAGAAGATGTCCGTGTACGGGTCATCGGCGGCGTCGGAGCGCCGCGGCGGCAGGAAGCATAGCTGGCGGCGCTCCAGCGGCGGCAGCGTGCTGACGGTCAACGCCAGCGACGACAGCGAAAAGGCCGCCTTCATGTCGGAGAAATCCAGGCTGTGGGCCTCCTTCCCATTCAGCTCCAGGATCTCGTCGCCCGCGTTCAGACCTGACCAAGTCCACACACACAAGATTTACATCACCCAGTTTAAGGTTTCAAAGGAGGACTAGCTACGATTCCATATGAGGTTTGGAAACCTGGACTTGGGGTTCAAATTCAGGTTTCAAGCCAAGGTTAGGTTTTCAAGACTGGCTTTGGACTTCACAGTTTCAAGCCAAGTAGGGTTTCGAGCCTGCGACGGGGTTTCAAATCAAGCCTTCAAATACAGGTTACAATTTCACACATTGGTGGTTCATATTAGGGTGTCAAGTCATGGTTAAGGTTTCAAGTCAGGATTCAAAGGCAAGGTTGGGGTTTCAAGTCAGGATTTGGATTTCAAATGAGTTTGAAGCCAGTGCTGGTGTTTCAGGGAAAGGGTTTCAAAAGAGAGCTCAAGGCCAAGGTTAAGGTATTAAATGAGTGGTTCACGATTGGGTTACGGTTTGAAATCAGGGTGAGGATTCAAAATTGGGGATTGAAACCGGGGCTAGAGAAAAGGCTTCAAATGGGTTTGCAGCCGAGGTTAGGGTTTTAAGACTGGGATGGGGTTTCAAATTAAGCTTTTAAAAATGGGTTTTAAACTTCATATTAGGGTTCGATATTAGGCTTTCAATTTAGGGTTTAAACTCAGGTTAGGGTTTCAAATTAGGATTTGAAGACAAATTCGATTTTCAAACCAGTTTCGAGTTTCAAATTCACGCTTCAAGCCGAGGTCAGGTTTCCAAGCTTGGGATAGGGTATCAAATAAGGGCTTTCAATCTCGTGCTCTCTTCCATCAAAGCCGCTCTGCGTTTTGAACAAGCACACTCGTATAAACGTGCCGGTGCTGCAAGAAGCGGCGTTAATGCGACAGACCTTTGGCAAAGGCGAGCCCGCCCGCCCTCACGTCGGTGATGTAAAGCTGCTGCACTCGGTCCTCCTCCACCACCGAGATGGAGAAACCTGCACGAGGAGGGAGGAGGGAGGGGGGAGAGCGCCCGCTTACATAAAACACTCGAGGCCGCAGCGACAAGCGGCAACACAATGGAAAGCCATTGGTGAGATTTCGCAATGACTCCACATTTTTTAGCATTGGCCTCGCCTATAAAACCAAAACAGTGATGTGCTGTACAACAAATCGGATTTTGTTCAATCTAATCCCGCTTCATATCTTGCTTGTGTTTGTCACAATAAGAGGACCTTAAAAAAAGAAGCGTATATCAAATCGCAGTCGCCACAGTGAGGAAACAAAAATGGATCCTTCCCGGCCGGCCCTCACGTGGGCGAGTTCCGAATCCATCCGAATCGGTTACGGCGCACGCACACATTCGGAAATCGGCTGAGCGCCGGCGGACAAAAGAGACTTTGAGAAGTGAAGTGTTTCCTTACCATAACCGATCATGCACGACTCATCTCGGTCAAACTGGACCACTTTTGTTATCTTGGAGCAGAGTTCGATCTCTTTGTAAAGCTGTTTGGAAACAACACAGGCAACACAAGTTGGGATCGCAAACGCCGATCACAATGTCCGATTGGGACAGTGTTTCAAATTAAGAGGGCCAAGGTAAAATTAGCGTTCCAAATTTGGGTGTGAAGTCGGGTAGGGGATTCCAAACCTGGATTCGGGTTTCAATTTAAGTTTCGGGAGACGAGACTGGAGTTAGCGCGAGTAGCCGTCAAAAGTAGCGCTGAAGTTCCAACCAGTGGACACATACCAGGTCACACACGTCCTCCTCCGGTTTGGGGATGTAAAACTGCACTCGGTTGTCGATGAGGAACTTGAGCCGAAGGTAGTGCTTGGTGGGATCCAGCTGGTGGGCCTGCGCGTGGTCACACGGCCATGAAAGTTCATCACCCCACAATGTATCCCAAGGCCATCGTGACCTGCCGCGTGCTTCTGGGCGGCAAAAACTGTATTTGTCTGACTGCTAATTCTGAACGGAAACGGAGAGCGTAAACGGCACGAAGGATGAATTTACATGTTGGGAGTTAATGGGCTCAATTAACGGACTTTTCTGCGGAACTGAATTGACGCTAAATCAGATAGCGCACTCTCGAGACGATGTTAGCTAGCGGGCTCGCCATTATGTTTTGCTAAAAGGCCCTGAGACACATCAACTAAACTTTTTAGGCATTCGCAAGCCCGATGATGGAAGTTTGGGTTTCCGTTCTGTCCCTTTACAAGTGGCTACTTTGCAGCCTTGCGATCTTCACAGTACTATTTACAGCTACGGCTGGGGGGGAGGCAAACTAGCTACTATGTCAACCACCAAAAGTGGTCGATACAAAGGTTTCTGCCTCGAAATTATAAGTCATTTTAAAACCATATTTGGAAGGAGATGTCCATGGAGCAAAAGTCAAAAATTAAAAAGATGATTTGAAGATTTGAAGTCACTTTAAACTAAAAAAAATAATAATAATTAAAAAAAATTGCTTCTCCAGCTAAGTTTTTTTTGTTTTTTTACGGAAACAGAAAAAAAAAAAGAGACCTTTTGTAGTTTAACTGGCAGCGCAAAAGCGAACACCAATTTGTCCTCACTTGGCGTTTTGCCCTGGCAAATGATGTTAACCAACATTATGAAGAGGTCGAAATTGGGGTGCCCGCGTCCGGTCCTAAGGAGCCCCTCTCCAGCCTGTTTTTCGATGTCTCCCTCTTCCAACACACCCGAATCCAACGATGGGCTCATCAGCAAGCTTTGCAGAAACCTGATGAATGATCCTCGGCGTTTGAATCGGGTGTGTTGCAGGATGGGGACGTCTCCAATGGGCTGATGGCGGCCCTCGAGGACCGGACCCGGTCTACATCATGTCCGCAAAAGTACTCGGCAGTATATGTCATGAACGGTGGCAAACCTTGCAAATGGTTTCCAGCACGCACAGCGCCGACTCGCCGGGCTGGATGATGCTCAGCACCGGCTGGTCGTTGGGCAAACACACCCATGATGGGGTGACGTGGTCGGGCACCCAAACGTCACTCTCCGCGCCGGGCCGGGAAACGCTCTTCCCGGATGCTTCTTCGCTCGACTGCAAGGGGAGGCGCAAAAGTCACATGACTTGAGTCGATTCTGACCATTGCTGCCAATTTTAGGACTAAAACGTCTCCCGACTTTGACTTGATAGTTGGAAAAAAAACCTCTCCTTACATGGTGCTCCTTTGCCGACTCAGCATATATTCCATCTGCAGTCCTTTTCACGAGCTCTTCTCCGTCTGCAAAGACCTGCAAAAAAAAAAACAAAAAACAGCAAGATATTGTCAAGCAATCAGAAGAGGTGAAAACAAAGCATACGGCCTGACGCCAACCTGGTTGATGCTGGGGTGGGCTCTGCTCTTCTTCTTGGAGTTGGTGTCCAGACCCCAGAGGGACGAGAAGCGGCTCTTGCGTTTGCTGCACGAGCGCGACATGGCGTGCGCCCGTCGCCTCACGCCGCTCTCCGTGCGAGCCGCCACCTGAGAGAACCACCACAAAAAAAAAGTCACTTCAAGGCTCTTTCCCTGCCACCAACGTTTAACGTAGAGTTGAAGCCAGACAGGCAGAACGCTGGCTTCCACATAACAAAGGGAAATCAAGAAACCTTGTCATCTTGGCAAGAAAAAAAGAAACCAAATGCTGGCCGTCTTCCACTGTTGTCTTTTGTTTACTGCCAGGCCTTCTTGATTGCTGAATTCATTGGCGCTTTACGCCACAGCTATCATCGCCATCCCCCGCCCCCCCCCTGTGGTGGAAACACCACAAGCCCCATCGAGATGCAACAAGGAGCTCAAATCAGCTGAACCGAATCGTTTTGGCCTGCTGGAATCGAGGCCAAACTGGGGCAAAAATTCAAAGAGCCAAACGGCGCCTACGGGAAGCCTAAAATGCGCAATTGCGGCTATTCCCGGACAGGGAGAACGGACTGAATGGGAAACGTGTGGGAGAGGCCAAGAAAAAAAAAAAAACAAAAAAAAAAATAAAACATACAAATATGAATCTCCCACACGGCTTGTTTGTAGTCGTTCAAACAGCCGCCCGCTTGGCAACGCCAGCAGGGATGTTTTCCCGGATTGGCTACTTTTAGCTGCGGGGTCATGTGACCCCGGCACAACCGTGGGAGTGCACAACACAATCTCCAAACTGAAGGCACGGCATCAAAATAACAGCGCCAACTTGTTTTATTCTTTTGTTCGGAAATGACTCATTAATATTGATGACATGTAACGCATTCATTCAGGAAATGTTGCTCCTTAGGATTCACCGACCTGCGCCGGAAGTATTCAAAACTCGTTCAATGCCAAGGACGATTTTTCATGTTTTTTTTTTTTTTTTAAGAATCCAAGCATTCAGTACCAGGTACATCTTTGTGGTTTTATTTTTATTTTTTTGCGGTAAAGAAAATGGGATGGCACTTAATGAGTTAAAATTGTGTGCAAGTATTTCATATGTTATAATATTGTAAAAATAATAATAATAATTGTGTGGACCCCCGTTATTTGCGGGAGATGGGGGGGCCGGCCCGTGAATGGTGAAAATCAGCATATAACCATTCTATTTACGGTATACTGGTAAGTAAATATTAAAAATAAGATGATTGTAGTAATAACAATTATTAGTTCTTAATATGATTAGTAGAATTAGTAGCACGCAATGCCAATATTCAAACATTTTCTAGATTCATTTTTTTAAACTTGATTCGCATCCTTTTAAATTGGGTCACAAAGGGCTCGTAGACATTAAATACATTCAAAATCAAATTTATGTTCGGTTATGCCACTACTGTGCATTCATAATGAATAAATGGCCATCAGAACAAGTCTCATTCATAATAAAGGCACACTCATGATTTTCAATTACAACAAAAAAGTGTTCTGACCTCATTCTCCAACGGAATCTCCCCCCCAAAAATCTTACGATTAAATCCTTAGGTCGTGTTTTCCAAAACACCCAACTTCCCTTTTAGAGATAAGCACAGAGTCCAAATGCACAAGTGCGACATTGGCCAAATGATTACGCGAGGACGGGCGGGCGGGCGCGCGCGCGGGCCACAGCTGCCTTACCAGCGCGTGGAAGGACGAGACGGAGAAGATGCCCAGGCGGCCCATGGCCAGCTTGGTCGGGCGCGAGGCGAAGGCCAGCAGGCGCTTGGGGTTGGGCAGCTCGCCGCCCTGCAGGCTGGCCAGGTAGCAGCGGAAGCGGAACAGGTCCATGTGGAACTGCTCCAGGTTCTGCTCCCACAAGAAGATCTGCCGGACGACACCGAGAAGCGTTGAGCCGCGCCCGCTTTCGCAAGCTTACTGGGCCAGCGGAGCGACGGCTCACGCTCCGGCCCGGTTCTGGCCGACTCCATTTGGGAGAGGGGAGCCGACGGCGGCTGCCAAGACGGCGACAATGCCGCCGCGCATTCCATTGGCTGCCGCTCTTTCATGCCTTTTATCTATTGGCTTGGGCACAATGGCAACCCTGACACCGACCCAAACAGAACCGCCCCCGATCGGGCTCTATCTAACGGGCCCGACAAAGACCACTTGATCGCCCGTGAAGGACAATTCATTCGTATGGAGAGAGGGAGAGGCAGGAATGAGGGGGAACGCTGCCAACTACGTGCTGGGATAGACACTCGCTGGCCACAATATTAGGAACACCGCTGCAAACTCAAACAGGGACAAATCAATTCATACCTCCGACCGTCCAAATATTTTGGGTGGATGTCATTTACACTGCATGGGTGGACCTAATAAAAAAGGACTTTTATTGATTTATTTTTTTTTTGCAGTTCAATTGAATTCCTCCAATGTAAAAATAGCAAGCGCGCTTCCTTGCAGTGATAAAGATTCGTTTCACATCAATTCTGGTCTTTGCAAAGAGAAGTTGAACAGGCGGAGGCACTTTTTTGTTGTTGTTGTTTTTGCCTAACAGTCTCATTAATTCTTTTTCAGAAAGTGAAACATCAGCAGCTTGTCTTGTGTACCTAATAAAAGAACCTTTGCTTTCTTTTCTTTTTGCAGTTCAACTGAATTCCTCCGATTAAAAAAAAAGAGCAACCACGCATCAATGGCTGTGTGAAACATCAATTGTTTTCTTTTTTAGAAAGTACAACATCTCAATAGTGTGTCTTCTCTTTTGGGCAAGTGCAACTTCAGCGGTCAATTTTCTTTTTAGGAAGAAAGGGCATCACCAGTAGTTTGTCTTCTTTTGAGGAAAGTACATATTGATAGCTTGTCTTTTTTGGGGGCAGTGGGGGGGGGGGGGTTAAGTCTAACATCAATAGTTTGTCTTCTTTCAAAGTAGTCACACTCTGAATAATTCTGCCCCCGTGTGGGGAAAAAAAAAATCTATTTGAATCTATCCGTCCATCCATAATCCGAACCGCTGATCATGTTCCTACAAAACCTCGGGCGGCGCACCTGATCCAGGATGGTCTTCCTTTTCTTGGCGTCGCTGACGGCGGCCAGCTGCATGTCGCCCATCTTCTTCATCTTCTCGTCCATGTCGATCTTCTGCTCCAGCTTTTTGATTTCGGCGCGCACCAGGCGCACCGTGTCCTCGCGCCGGTGCTGCCGGGCGACGGCGCTGGCGCACGCAGAGTGGATGGCCGTGATCCAGTTCTCCAGCTCCGTCTGGCTGCACGTCTGCGCGGCCCCCCCCCCAAAAAAAAATAAAATGTCAAGTGCTCAAGGCAGACCTGTTGAATAATCGCTCCATTTTATTTTATCGAACGTTTATCGTAGCGGGTAAAAGCTTCGTACGATAGAAAAGCTCTTTCAGAAGCAGGGGGAGTGAGGCTACCCCATTCTATGGTTTTGATGTTCCTTCACGAACTGTCGGGGGTTGGAAAAAAACGATCTGCTACACTTGCAGTTGCATTTGGTGCATGAGCCCCAGGGGTGGGGTGCTCGTCCGTACCACCGCCCCCCTCGCACATCACACTGGCTAGCGCCATCTAGCTTTGTAAGGTCTGACGCTCGCTATGTGTCCCGATACTTTTGTCCACACCCGAAGGGCTCAATCAACCGTCTGACCTGGAACAAGAAGGCATCTCCCAGCGAGTTGCTGAGGCAGAACACAAAGTCCTTTTTGGGGTGCTCGGGGACCGCCTGCACGATGCTGTTGTCCGCCCAGATGGCGTACTTGGGGACGCTGCTGTTGTCGATGCCCGAGCGGCCGTCCGTCTCGTAGAAGAACAGAGTGCAGCCTGAGCGGGGGGGGAGGGAGCCGAGAGAAATTGATGAGACGCAACAAGTTGCATTCTGCTCTCCAGGGGCCGAATGTGAGAAGTGCAGCTCGGCAGAAAAAACAAAGACAAAAACAAAGAACTGCCTATTAGTGTACAGCGAACCCTCATTAATTGCGGTGGATATGTTCCACGGTACAGTGAAACTCCTCTAAAACGAAACCTACATGGGCGAAAATACCCCCTAGTGTGAAAAAATGTTCATGCATGAAAGCCATTCCCACTTTTCTGCTCGCCCTACGACGAAAAATCCCCATGTTCCGTCATAGGAAATCTTTTTCTCTGCACTTGCCTAGCGACGAGATTCACTACAAGGAAAACAAGCCTCCCGCAAAAGTCTAATCCAACAGCGATCTCGACTGCTTAGTTCGGAAACGGCAACAGCAACCACCACACTGGTTTATACATGACTTTTTAAAACCAACAAAGTGGAGTGATTAATGTATAATAATTGTATGTTAATGTTAAACAATATCAAATAAGTGTACGCTCATATTTATGCACGATGTACAGTATTGGAATAAAAATAAAGAGTACACATATACATTTTGTGTGTGTGTGTGTGTGTGTTTACATCTGAGATCAAATTTGCTACAGTGAAAAACCACCTGTTGTGAAAAATTTCTTGCTGCAAACATGATTTCGTTGTCGAGGAGTTTCACAGTAGCAATTTTGTCATTTGTCATTGCGGACATCAAAAATAAGTGCCAATGGATGCATCACTCCTTGGTCCCTCACTGATGGAAGTTTCACCCCATCTACGTTTGACCTGTTGATATGTAAATTACGGCCGGCCTTCCATCTCCCTTTCCAAGCAATTTATGTCGCCAAACGTCGTCTTTTCAAACGGCACCTCACACATTCTTTGGCGATCGCGAAAAGGACTAAAATCATCACTCGAAGCTACTGACCCGGTTGCCTTTGTGAAATGACATGTCAGGGTTCGATCACCAGCGGCGCAATCTGAGCTTTCGCC